CACCTCCACTGACCTGAAATAACCTTTTCTCTCGCTTTGGGAGAGACAGCTGTACCCTGGGAGGCTTGTCAGGCCCTGTCGTTGCTCGCTGATGCCACTCAGAGAGACACGAAATCCCCCGAGCCGAGACTCTCCCAGCAGTTTGCAGTCGACAAAGAGTGGAGGCGGCCGAAGCTGCGGCCCCGCTCTTCACAGCCGCCTGCTGACCGTGGAGAGCTCAGCAGGCCCTGGGCCGCCGAGCTTTTCTCCCGCTCCTGTGATCAGGCCGGAAACGGAGCTATTGAGGGGAGAGAAAGGAAAGGGACAGAAGCTGTGCTTGGCTCCCTCGCATCAATAAGGCCTCCTTCCGAGCTGCCGGCTGGCTGCTGGGAAATAGGAACGGTGGTATTTTAGAGCTGAGCCGTGGTTTCATGCTCCGAAACTGGCTAATGGTGTGACATGATAGTCGCAGACACGAGGCGAGGACGAAGAGGGAGGTGAACTTAGCCCGGATGCCCAAGCTAGAGACCGTTTTCAGAGGTCCACGGCTTCCTGTTTTCTCTTCTCCGGATCTGCACAGTAGCCGCCTGCCCGGGTCAGGGGAGTGGGCAGCGGGCTATCCGGGGCTTCGCAAAGTAGGTCAGGGTCACCCCCAGGGACTAGTTAGGGCTCTGCTGAGTCCTGAGATTCTCGCAGCCACGTCTTGGTTAGTATATTCCTTGTACGCAGTGATTTTTATTAGGGCGCTTAACAGCCTGTCAATCAGTTCTGAAATTCCCTGTTTATCCTGTGAATTAGCAGCCCTCCTCGCCCCGCCCTCTTTCTCATTTCTCCCTCCCCTCCATCGGAAAAACTTTCCCTGCCTTCCTTCCTTGGTGGGGTAAAGGCGCCTTCAGTCGCCTGCGGGTACCAGCTGTTGCAGCGTCCGAATCAGTGCAGTCGGAACTATCCAGGAAGCGTGCAGACCCACCACGCCGGTCACTCTGCGTGCCCGGAGCTGTGCTGCAGCACAAGCCACGTGACCCACCTCCAGGGCTGGGGGTGAAGGAGGAAGGAGAAAGTTGGCCCGGAGGGAAAAAGAAAACACAAATGTGTCTTTATGAAGCGAAACCATCTAGGCCTTCCTCCAGGCAGAGGGCCTGCGGGACACCCCCACTTCTGATGGTCCGAGTCAGAAGGGGTTTGTCGATGGTTTAGAGTTGCAGGTTTTCCATTTTCTTTCAAAGGCCCCCGCTACGCTCTGTCATCATGGTGAGTGGGTGAATAACTCAGCTGCTTAGACAAGTTCGTTCCCAAGTACCAGTTGCCGAGTGAATGAATGAGTGAGCAAATAGCAAATATGTTACACCGGTCGGGTATCTCGATAATGAACTTGGTGAGGTGGTGTGATTTCTGCTCCAGCAGGACTAGGTTCCAAGTCCCTCAGGGCCCTCGATGTCCCCTGGACCCTCGTTCCCATGCGCCATGCCCCTCTGTGTCACACTTGGTGCCCCCTCCTTGTGGCGTGGACGGTTATCTCTGAGCATGCCCTGGGCTGCCATTTTACTGTAAGCTCTGATTTAACTGCAGAGTGCGCAGTACCTAGTCATCTCCCAGATGCGTGCTGAATAAAGTGTGACTCCTCTTTCAGAGCCTAACCACACACGGGGGTGGATGTGCCCGGCTTCAGCCAAGAAAAGGCGAACCAGATTCCCACAGCCCTGGGGAGGGGGCGCCACTGGCGCACGAGCAGGAGCTGGGAGGCGCCCCTTCCCCACTGCGAACTGCCACGCGAACTCGAGGGTGCGCTCCCGCTCCCGCGCCCTGGCTGCTGCTCACCTTCCTCCGAGCGCGAAGCGGACGGGGTTTGAAATCTTGGAGGCGAAGGGAGGGCAGGCTTCCAGATGTGGCCATGACCCTTCTGCACTCAGCCGTCCTTGTCTCTCATCCTCCTCCCCATTGCTCCCACCTCTGCTGCCCGCAGGCTCGTTCGTTCCCGGGAACAAACTTGATCTAAGTTCATACCAATTCACATTTATCGCACCTCTGCTGTGAACGGGGCGCTGGGAGGGGTCTTCAAGGATTTTCCTCCATCTGTTTCATCTTCACAAGAGGAAGACAGACAGGGAGCAACCTACCTGTTTACGCGATAAAATTCAGTATCTGCCAAACGCGGTTCCAGGAGCCATACTACACACACCCGTAAGGAAAAAGCCACTAATTCGGACCCGGAGGGCTCGAGACGCCTTCACGGTAGAGGTGGCGTTGGAGTCGAGCCTGGAAGGCGTGGAGTTTTGACAGATGGGCAGTTTTGATTGCACTGCAGGGAACAGTGTGCGTGAGGACACAGAAGCACATGTGGG